GATGTAACTGTATTTTATTTTGAAGGCATAAATACAATTAAATTTAAATTAATAAATCAAAATAATCTAAAATATGAACAATCAACGCCCCCCCCCCACCAACGGGCTGCGGTAAAATGTATAGTCGTTTTCATTATCAAATCCATTTCGAAGGTAGTTTTTCTCAGCATCCATCATAAGTTGAGATAATATTATATTAATTGGTCAATTTTCATTCATTAAATAAAGTAGTTAATACAATATACTATTTTTTTTAATTTTTCGTAATCCACAGTTTATTGGCATTGCGCTTAAAAGCTTTATAAATTTTTCAATTTTTTTAAATTAAACAAAATTTTCGGTTAAAATTTTTTAGTTGATTTTAAGTCATATGATATTAATATTCTAAATATTGAAAAAATGTTTGTTGGTTTTAAATTATTTATTTTACCTTTTTTCTTTCATGCATCATCTTTAAGTCATTCTCTAAGAAATAAATTAGAATTTTCATCAGATCTATTACGGGAAGAGAGTGTACGTAACCTAAAAAACAATAAAATCAATAAAAAACAGAAACAAGCAATTAAATACCTATTTCTCAAATATCTCAAGAAATATTTCAGAAAAATATGCAGAGAGTAACAAAAATCTCAATCATTACTAATATAAATATCTTTCAATATTTGCGAAACAAAAACTACTTAATTTGATTTCCAGACATATAAGAAAAAGTTCCATTCTAATCAATCATAAACAAATATATACGCCATGTTTCCTGATGCGTTAATAAATTAATGTTTACCTTTATAATCCAGGATTCCAACCATAAATAGACGGACAGCACTGTTTTCGTTATCAAAACCTAGGTACTGGGAAATAGGATACTTTTTATACACCTGTCAAGAGAAATTGTAGAATGAATACATGTTACATTAATATTTATAACTCATTGTATTCAACTATTATTTTATAAATATTTTTCCTGTTAAATGTTGTTTTGATTTTTTAGAAGATTCTTTAGAATACGAGTTCTAGAAACAAACGTTAAAAACATCTGGAAAACGAAATAACATACCCAAAGCATTTAAAAATAATTAAATTCTTTTCAAATACGAAATTAAATTTTATTACTTTTTATTAAAACGTTTTTTTAAAAAAAACTAGTTTTTTTTTAAAAATTGTATTTACTATTGTTTTAAATAAATTTATACATGCTGTTTGTTATCTGATTAAATATCTCATTAAAAATATATTTTGGGTAAAAACAAATAGTATTGCACTCTAAAAAAAATGCATAGCTTAATGTTCATTTACCATAAAATTTTACTTGCAAGGCTGAGTCTTAAGCTGTAACGTACAGTTACATAAATTTACGTTAATAGTGTACGACTGAAGCACACTAGAGTGTTTTTAGGGGCTGAGTCCGTTTATGCATGCAGGATATTCAAATATACAGGCAAGCTGTTTTGTTTTTCAGTCAAATACCTTTAGAGAACGCTTTATATTTTATGTTAAAATCATAATTCGTAGTGGGTTCCGCCTGCTGATTTAAATACAACCAAAGGGCAAAAATAGCAATAATTTTAGCGACTCCTCAAAAAAAAAAAAAACACTTAGATTACACGTCACAGAAATAATTAAAACTATTAAACACTATTTACGACATAATATATTAGAGAATCTTGATTTCAGTTGTGATTTGAAATCCATGAGTTAACGCATAACTTTGATATTCTCTAGTTTTCCGCCATTTTGTTTTTCAGCACTGATCATTGCAGTGAGTAGTTTTAAACAAAATTCAATAAGGTTACCTGCTCAGTAGTACATCTCAATGTGTCTGTGAATATATTGCTATTATTATCGACATTTAAATCACAATTTGTAATCGCAAAAATTCAGGCAATTGTCGTCTAAAAGACATTGTTTGATCGAAATAGGTAAACAAAATTGCGTTAAGAGTTTTTATTCACTCAGTGTTATTCACATATTATTCAATGTTTTCATTTACATATACTTAATTCTCATATTAAAGTCTTTTTAATCATACACAGATGGTTTTCATTCATAAAATATTTAGATTATTTAGTTCGAATAACTTAAGAATTCTACGATGGACTTACGTCAGGAAATTCATATGCAGGGGTGAGAATGGTGTCAGCTCCAATCTTCTTGCGAAATTTGTGACTCTGTGGAAATCAAGTTTTAAAACGGATTAACTGGTGTTGTTTTAATTGAAAAAATATGTGACTGCATTTTTTGTTTCAACCTCATTAATATTTGAAAAGAATTAATACTGCTAGAAACTAATTTTATTGAGTTAGTAAAGGCAAAATTTAGTTAGTTGAAGCAAAATTTTTTCGACTGTTATTAAATAAAATATTAAAAAATAATAAATATTTTTTTAAATTTATTTTTTGCCTGGAATTATCTTTGGATAAACGAATTTTATAATTGTGCGCAAAAAAATTTCAATTCGCTTAAAAGTTTCCGAGATATGGCGTAATACGCAAAAAATAAAATTAGCATTAAGGGGTCCAAATTTTGAATCGCTCTTTTAATCAAACCATGGGAACCTTTTTTATCAGATTGCGGCTGCCCCCTATATTTTGGGGGTCAGAAATCCGAATCCATCATTCAGAGAAAGTACGTCTTCATGTCTGATTTCGTAATTTAAAATATCGTCTTCACTAATTAATTAGCATATTCGAGGCCACTCTTTCGAATCATTTTGATTGACTCCTAAAACATCATCCACTCATTAGATCGAAAGTTATTAAGTCCGTTTTTTTTTTTTCCGACGCACTGTACAGTAAATAAAACATAAAGGTTACTCATTAGATGTTATGAATGTGTAGTATGGTGATATCAGGATACTTATCAGTTTCTGACAAGGGAAACTAGGGAAGTGTGA